TATTACTTTCAAAACGAGGAAAATCAATGTCACACAAGTGTATGAGCGAATGTTCAAAAATGAACGAATCAATAGACAGTCTTAACATGATTAGTTGTAATGTCATGTGACAACAAGGTCAGACATGTTTGTTTAGTTAGTGGACAGACAAAAACATATTGTCAATTATAATGGAATATCGATCCGTATATACATAGCAAAATATAACAGACTGTCAAAAACAAACACACATATTATGTGGATACATATCAGCTGTACAATACTCCCCGGTTTTGTTTCCAATGGTTCTCAAACCAATGTGAACATATGATGAAATCCTGAAACCAATCACACACACATCCCTGGAAACCAACACTTGAATAAAAAAATAATCCGTGTCAACTGTCCACTAGGTCGTGGTAATCAGCGTTATGTGTCTAGTTCTGATTAGACAACTGAAACACTGGGTAGCGTGGCTAGGAATCTCTCAGGAAGCATAATATCCCCCCCGCCCCCCCAGGTTGATGACGTGTACTAACCAGCATCCAATTTAGATATATGCCTTATTGTCAATAGATTCAAGGTAAATATTATAAATAATTTGGTTTTATTCGTTTACTGAAATCACATTCAGATGTTAGTTGTTAGATAAACACTAGAAAATCGTGGAATAAAGAAAGACGTACTGAATATAATGTTATGGTTGAAATTCTGGTCGCTTTGTGAAGAGTTCTTCGTTACCATTCACATTTTGCTGAGACCCTCTTGACCCTTGATGAATTATCTTCCTGCATTTGAATACTTCCAGTTTAGTACTTCTTTCACTCTTTAGGATTTTGATATCACCATTTGAGATGTCATCTATTGCTATATGCAGTCGTCTGAAGCAATCTTCCTTCTTTTCTTGTTCTGAGTTGCTTTTAAACGCATAATATTGCAGTGTAATTGTAATCTTCCCACCTTTTGAGTTGAATCCTACTGTCATAATCCTAGAGGTGATTGGTTCCCATTGCATTAGAGCTTTCCAGTTAACAATTTAGATAGTCTGTATCCATTTCACCTGCTCTCCTAGATTCCTAGAACTTCCATTTTTGTATATCCCTCTTTTCCCGGTTAGAAGACTGGTGAGCTAGTACACTAGATGAATTTTTTAATTTACAGTATATAGAAGCACTGGTATGTACCCGTTCCTAGTTCAAGTATAGGGAGTAATTGCGTCAATGATAGTTCTGTTGCACATGTTTTACAATAGGATGCATGGTATAGTCAATGTATACAGCTCAACACGAGCAAGGGGATATGTATAATGCATGTTGAAGTGACCCAATTCTAACAGCTTGTCTTTCACATGTTGGCAAGCAAATGTCACACGTAGGTTAGCGGAAAAGAGATTTCGTCAAAAGCAATTTACGGAGAATTTCTACTTCAGTATCCCTTTAAATTTCAGCATCCTTTTGGGGATAACTTGAACCTTTTTTAGAGATTTTCTTTGGTTTTTAACCCTTAAATGCTCAAAAAAATCAACTTTCACAATATTATGATCCTAATATGTTTTTATCCTGTTCATTAAACTTTGCAGGTTAATTGATTTGCCAACTGATCGGAAATAGTCCCGGGACTTTCTCACCCGTCTGCTATAAATACATGAGTATACAGCCTTGTTGATGACTTCGCTAAAACTGTCTACTTAATAATTCGTAAGACACACACATAGATCCCAGTAACGAAAAAGATTAGCTCATATGGTTATAAATCTCTATTTCTTTAGGTGATCAAGACATCATCATACTGGCTGCCTTGGATTAATATCAGTTTAAGAAGCATTGGAAACCAGATAGGCAGTACTGGACATTCGCTTCGTCCACTGGGTTTGGATTCCAGGACCTTATGGTTACAAGCTATGCTTGTACACCAATCACTGGGACTAGACTCAATGGACAGTTCATGAATTTTTAGTTCTGCTATTCCGTGATTTCAGCGCGACTGGGACCAGTTACTGTCATAAAGGAGTATTTTTCCTCACTCTCGACATATTGGATTCGCACTAGAAATCCAAGAAACTACGTTCTGCAAGCAGAGTCACTAGTGAGCATCAGATTAATTTTTACGAGTTAGTTAGACATCAGTCCATGGTCAAAAATGGAGTAAATCAAAACACCGACTCTTGAGAATGGAATTCATGGGGTCGGGTCTCAGTGGCTGAATGGTATAATGAGCTAGTCTTGTAACCGTAAGATTCTGGATTTTAACATCGTAAGTGGATGTGTACTGACGATGACTATCGAGCTAGGATGACGAAACAGCTATCCAGTGCTTTCCTGGCTTTCAATCGTTCCCGCTCTCTCTCTGGTATTAATCTGTGGTGTAACATGAAACAAATACAATCCCTACAAACTAATTCTGGATAATAATATAAACTTTCTCAATTTCCTCAGCTTTCATCTTTAAGCATCCAAACGGAATCTGATTTGCAAGTTTTTGTCTCCCATATTATTCTGTAATGTACATATGGGATGTAAGGCGGTAGCAATAACTCTGCACTGACGTTAGGCAGTGTTGGGATAATTTACAGTTCTTTGATCTTTCTGTTGTTGCATACAATCACATACAGAATCCAATTATATAAACACATTCGTCTATTTATCACCTGATGACAATGAGAAAGCCTGTTCTTGTTGTAACAGAGTCCTAAAACAAAATAACAACAACAGGTCCTTCTACGATCAAGTTGGAAAGAATTAACCCCCTAAATAGATCTGCTCATTCAACTTTAAATGGTAATGCTCCATTTTCAAATGGATGTGTATAAACTTGGCGCTAAAGTTGTACACACACACACACACATACACATCCATCTATATCACTGGAAAAGGATTTCCATAACCACCTTATTCTTTGACATTAGTTACTGCCTAATCAATTATACCGATTGAGATGGTTAGGAAACATGTCATGAATGCCTACCTTCCTCACCTTCCTCAACAGGCAGAGTGTTGGCTGATGTAGGATGGATCAGATTGGAAAAAAGAGCTAGTGGTGGTCTAACCGAAAAAAATGGCGTTAGTCAATGAAACCCATAACAAAATCAGTCTAAGTTTGTTTTCGACATAGAACTCTTTGCACCGATGTGCACCAGTTCAAGTCGCCACACTCCCACCTTGTAACACACAAACCAAGAGAAGAAATGCAAAATACAGACAGTAAACAGAGGTGGTGTGAGACAAAGGAATAGTAATAATGAAGAACAATATAGTTTGTTTCATTGGAAATCATGAGTCACACGGGAGTGGATGCGTCTGCGCTAGCCATTGAGAACGATTTTGAGTCATATCACCAATTGTTTCCAGCCATTATTGGCTCTCACCATCCCAAGGACCCCAACCAGAAATTCTACGCTTTCCTACGTAGCTGGCTGGCCTAAACTAACTGTTGTCGATTTCATTGACTGGTGGTATGTTTTAGTTTGACACCACCACTAGCATTTTTTCAGTCTGACCCTTTGTCAGATAACATCGCCTGTCAGTCGAGGAAGGCGATGACTAGGCATACATAACACATGTCCTAGGGAGATGTAGACTTCCTGGAAAGATCCAGTGGCTGGAGACGATTGGTGGTATGGCTCAAAATTGTCCTTGCCAATGGCTGGTGCAGATGTATTCACTCTTTGAGATTTATCATATCCAATAAAAATTTATTGTTCTTTTATATTACTATTCTTTTCGCCTCACTCACGCTTCTGTTTATTTTATCTCTCTTGTCTTGGCTTTGTGTGCTATATGGAGAGGGAGATTGGCAACTTGAACTGGTGCGCATCGGTGCAAAGTGTAGTTCTACGTTGAAACTAGTCAGTCAATCAGGTGTCCAATCGAAGTATTGTAATACAGCCTTACAGGCGGACAATAGCCAGGCTAAATAGCTGAGAATGTTAAGGATTATTTCTAACTGCAGGCAACACACTGGATGAGACATAATAAGTTCGAATCACAGATAGTGGACAAAATGGCAGATGATTATTATTTCCTTTGATTCTTAGAGGAACATAGGGCTTCACCTGCACGTATCCATTGCGCTCTGTTCTCTGCTAAAGTTTTTACCTGGCTCCAGGTGGTCCGCCCACATACTTTCATCTCCGCCAAGTCACCGTCGCAATGACGACCAATTAGCCGCTACCCTTTTGGGTTCCACTCGAGCAATGGCCTGTCGTGCGATGTCACTTGATGGTTTCCTCAGAGTATGACCAATCCATCTCCATTTCTTTCTGCCTATTAGTTACACAATCGGTTCCTGATGGGTTTGTTCGCTCATTGCCAGAGATCCCTGTTGCTGATCTTTTCTGGTCGGCCATCTGATCTTGAGTATTGAGCGGAGACAGCTGTGGATGAAGGTCTGTAGTTTGTTTGAGATGCTCTTTATGACGCGCCAAGTCTCTGATCCGTATAGTGAGTAGCACTGACCGACTTCACATTGCAGTTGAAAATCCAGATTTTATTTTCCCTGTTGAGTGCTGTTGACCTCCACACAGACTTGAGGGTAATGAAAGCTTGTCTTGCTTTTCCGATCCTTGCTTTGATATCTTCGTCAGTTCCGTCCGCCTGTAGTTGAAATGATGCTTCTCAGGTAGGTAAAGGAGGTTGTTTCTTTCAGGTTCCTCCCATTTATGCTGATTTTTGTTGTTGCTGTTGGCCAGGAATCTCTGTTTTATTTACGTTCACTTGAAGTCCTATCTTTGATGCTTCTTCTGCCAACTTGTTGCTACTTTTCACTTGCATATCTTCCAGTGTTTGTGGGAAACTCAGACATATATCATCCTCGGCGAAGTCCAGATCCTCCAATTTTTTGTGAGGGTGGTCCATCGTTGGAGATAGTAGGCAGCCAGCCAGCCGGCCTCGGCTTACTCCAGTCTTCACTTCTTCGAAGGCATCCGTTTCCCGAAGTTTCCTCTTTGTGGATGATTACTTAGCATACAGCATTGTTGTACAACTGTTAGATATGAGATGTATAATTGTCCGCGGCACCCCGTAGTAGTAGTGGTAGCGAAGATTGCAGATACACACGCCTTACTGTATACCTTGTGAATGAGTAAGTGCCAATAAGCACGAACACTTAGTCAAGCAGACGTCTTACTGTTGTCGATTACCTCCAATTCTATCTAATAACTAAGTACCTCATTCACACTGTTAGGCATTTCTCTTTAAGTAAGTCTTAACAAGCACATAAACCAACAAAAGGGATAATCATTAAACTATTATTATTATTATTATCGTTATTCACTTGTCTTTTGCGCCAATATATCTCTACACAAAAAAAGATCGGAAAAAAAAATCAAAATGCAAAATAAACCAAAAAAAATGAACGAGGCTGTTCGGGTTGTTGGGGGGGGGCCGGCGCGGGGGAGGACACTAGGGATAAATCCAAAACACCCACAAAACCAAACAAAACCCAAATTTATCATTGAAGTATATGCATATATGCAGATCAGACAGGTACACAATTTTTTTGTTTGTGTATTCTAATTTGATGTATCGTTATTTTGTAAAAAAGTGGTGAATACATTTCGAAAATGTTCTCACACCAATAAATAATTAATCAATAATAATAATAAGCGAGATGATAAATTTAAATCAAATGAAGTATGCAAAGTAAATTTTTCTTTAAAATTAAACCCTCTACCCTCTCATAAAAGCATATACAAGTAGTAGAATGAATATAAATATGTTGAACAGAAAGATGAAGGGACAATTACACAGGCACACACACCCACATCCACAGACAGACACGTACACGAATCTGCACTTAGAAGAGGAGGGTGAAACAGAGAGAGAGAGAGAGAGGGAGACAGAGACAGACAGTATCTGCGTGTTTGATCGACAGTAGGACAAACAACACACACACACACACATAGAGAAGAAAGATAAAGTGTGCGCCAAAATGTTGTGAGCAAGTGTTCACCACGGGGAAAATGATTTCTTGGTGTTTTACTAATAAGTGTACATTGTGAATGTCTTTTCACATTTTATCATTTGAAGAAAACAAAGGGAAAACACGAAAATAAAACAAAAAATAAATATACACAAAAATAAATACAATTAACAAACTAGTACCATTACTGCCAATATTATTGCAGACAGCTTCGTTTAAATTTCCCGCCTTTTCAAAATATGGTGTCATTTGAACAAATCGACAAAATAAAATGAAAAAGAGGAGACACACACAGCACGCCTATCTCTGATTGGTTAAAATAGTTTAATTAGGAAAGAATAGGAATAATAGTAATAATAAAGATAATAATAATGTTTTTATTATTTTTACACACACACACACATGGACACAAAATATAAACGAATCAAAAACAAAAATCCTAAAATAACGTTTTTGCATTTTTTTGATCCTTTAAGCGTTAGAAGTATGTGGGGCTTGATGCCAGAGAGAGGGACTGTGCATGTGTGTGTGTGTGTGTGCAATTGCGACACGACACGTGTAAGTGGGAATATAGTAGTAGTAGTAGTAGTAGTAGCGTCTACAAACAAATAAATTATTTAATGTACTGTGTCTACTTGATCACGTCTTTGGATTTCTTCCCCCCTCCCTCCAAAAGTACCAGAACTGAGGCACCTTATACACACAATGTTTGAAGTGAGAGAGAGAGAGAGAGATGCGAAATGAAACTACACACAAAGACATACACATACACACGAATACGAATTCATCACAATTTCTGGACACAAAAAACACGCACTTCTGATAGCTTATTTATAGACAGCTCCACAAAGATGGATATCCCCGCATACAGTGATAGTAATAATAATAATAATAACAGTTATAGTAGTGGTAATAAATGGTTGTGAATAATATATATATATATATATATATATATATATATATATATATATATATGTTACACAGGATCTTATAATACCTACAAAATGTATCATTATGTATAAATAAATAAATAAATAGAATAGAATAAATACGCAATCATTAGTCATTCTTGTCCCACAACCACAAACTGCTTACATCATCACAACAATAACAACAGAAAAGCGGGTGCACGTGCGCGAGAGAGAGAGGCAGACAGACGATTGTATTCATGAGATGTTCAAGCAAACTGTGAATGTCTCTCTTTTTGTAAGAAGTCCCACCCAGTACAATTATGCCATCTTTCATATAGACAATTTCTACATCACAATAGAGAAGAATTTTGAAGGATAATTGAAACGTTGTATATATATATATATATATGTATATATTCCTTGTCTATTCTCGTTGTGAATGCATGTATATATATATATATATATATATATATATATATATATTTGTGTGTGTGAATTAGTGTTAAATGTGTATGCGCCTGAAGAGTATCATTTTGATACAATATGAATAATAATTAGGAAAAATCAATTTGTCATCATCATCCATGATCAATCAACACCTTCAAATCCTTCAGCATTTTCTATAGCAATAATGAGTTTACAACGGAGTTCTTCAAAAGTTGTATAAGGCGGTAGATCCAAACGATTGAAACTAGAAGAGGAAAAAAACAAAAGAACAAACAAAACAAAAAACGATGAAGTACCTAGACTAGCTGGCCACTTCCAAGTGTATCTACCAATTCAACTGCGCTTGTGGTGGGGCGAGTTATATTGACCGTTGCTCTAGGAACTCGAATTTTTCGTGCTCTCTCGGGAACATCTCCCAGCATGCCCGAGTAAAGGTGTAGTAAAATCTCCATCAACAGTCCGATATCAGACCGCCTGGTCCAAACCAGATACAAAGCCAGCCAGCGTTGAAGAATCCTTCTCTATCATCATCTATCGGGTGCCTAATAAATTGCCAAAATCATCGAATCACCACATGCTCCAAACAGCACAGGCTATTGCGATTCGCCTCAAACAACCAGTACTCTATGTTCAAAAGAAGCAAGTCCAGCCCCTACTACTGCCCAGTCCTGACCTTCAGTAGAGATTATAAATTCATGAATTTGTAATATTATTTTTCCTAATTTTTCTGACATTCAGCTTATTTTATGTTGATGCTATTGAGCTATAATCTATTGATATTATTATTGTTGATTTCATGTTATTTAAACAGCATTAATGTTGTTCATAACACCAATTCATTCATTCATTCATTCACTATAATGTATATATAACTGTAGAGCCTGGTGATGAATTTATCGAAAAGAGTACTCTTTATTCAGTATCCATTCTTTTGAAAATTTTAATGGGCATTTTTAACCAGTTAAAAACCAAAAAAGTGAGGGGGAGGGGTTAGGAGTATGAAACACAGGTCTCGACAAAAGAATACGTCGTAATACTAACAATCCAGTTGGTTGGGTATGAAGGTTAGAAAGCCGGGAAAATACATCACGTTAATCAAGGAACTCTACTATAACCCTAAGGAGAGTTGTCATCTGAAGTGGTGTCCGTCAGGGATGCCCACTATACCCATTTCTATTGAATTTCATCATAGGTGTAGTAATGAACTTAAACCCTAACTGACTTCAACGGATCAGGAATTGACCTGTTACCACAACCAGGAAATAATTTTGTTAACTTAGAATATGCAGATGATATTGTCCTGTCCTCCTAGGTGAAGACACTGACAAAATGCAGAATCTTTTGAACAGAAATCTTGTGGAGCAGAAATTTTCGAATGTTTGACATGCGATTCGCTCTTGTCAAATGCAAGATACTACTACAGGATTGCACTACATCGACTTATAGCTTAACGGCAAGCAGGAGTGAAGTGGTACAGCGTGTTGACTACTTCACTTATTTAGGAAGTTGCATCAGCCAATACTAGCGAAATTTCAGCACGGATACAAAAGGTTTATGTGGTATTAATTGCCAGATTACGCCATCTTTGACTTTGGAGACGTGACATCCAGGTGGCTGCTCAGCAGCACTTCTTTCCATCCTCCTTTACTGCTACGAGAAATGGTCGTTGAAAGTGGAAGATAAGAAAAGGCTGACTAGCTGTCTTTACTCATAAATGTCTGCATACTATCTCCCATGTTTGTCAGTTGGTATAATACGGTTGTAACGACAGAAGGCAAGAGTAAGACAACAGATCATTTATTAAGGAAATCAACACGTACTTATATATTTTCATGTACATTATTATAAATTATTGTTAGCAGAGAAACACAGTCTTCTGATTAGTTGTTTCTCACAGACAGTTGACCTTGCATCTCTTTGTAACTGCTTCTTGAATGTCAGTTCATCTATATGTTAACTGTATCTGTCTACGCAAAGTGTGCTGTGGTTGGTTGTTGAATCAGTCTTGTTCATATTTCCTCACGACCGATATTTGGGACACAAACATTGACGTACATTATTGTCTACCAATTTGGCTAGAAGCCTACTCTCACCACAAGGTGAGGAATATTGAGGTTAGGCTTCAGTCGAGTAATAGGTGAGGAGGGGAAAATCAATCGACGAGGTTTCGAAGTTACACTGATTGAGATGGTTGGGGTATGTGCTACACAAGCCTAGTCATCTATAATGTTAGCTGACACAAGATTGATTGGGTTGGAACAGAGCTTGTGCTGGTCAAACCAAAACATGGCTTCATCAGTCAATGACTTCTATAACAACAGTTAGTTACAGCCAGTTACGCAGAGAGGTATAGACTGCCTGCCTACCTACCTGGTTGGCGTTCTCAGGATGGTAAGAGCCAATGACAGCTGGAGTCCATTGGTGATATGGCTCAAAATCATCCTTGTCAATGGCTGGTGCAGATACATTCACTCTTTGCGATTTACCATATTCCATAAAACTCTATTGTCCTTTCATATTACTATTCTTTTTGCCTCACTCACACCTCCGTTTATTATCTCTATTCTCTTGCTTGCTAAAAAAAACTGGTCAGATTTCAAAAGAAGTGGATACTGCAAATTGTTATCTGCAGAGTGAATGACCTACGTTAATCATCCAGACGATGACCAAAAGCGCGCCGACGGAGTCGTTATCATAGTGTCGTCAACAGGATGGAAGGCTTTCGTGCAGTGAGAATAATAACAAAATCCCATAATGTCAAGAATATGATTCGATGAAGACATTACCCACCTTCAAGAAGATTTGTTCAATATACACAACCACACTATCAATATACCTTCTGATAAGGTCAACCGAAGAGAAACATTTTCAGTGAAATATTTTGTTCAAGGGAAAAATGATGATTTAAAGCTTTTATTTGCCTTTCTTTAAAACGCATGACGTAAGTCATTCTGTGTGACGACTACTTACGTACATCGTAATGACATTACGCCATCAGATCTCTCAGTGTGGCCCATCCAGGATTAGAATCTCACTCGACCTAAACCAACTTAGGGCAACTGAGCAAAGTGATAGAAAAGTTGTTTGGAATTCACACATCATCTTCATTCACAACTCTCCCCAGAAACCTCTTTAGAAAACTATATGCTCGCACTAGTAAGTACAAAAGCTCAACCATACCCTTCTTAGCACGTTTTCTGTGCGATAAAGAAAGCATTAGGCGTAATACCTATAGCTTATTTAATAGTCAGTAGAACAATTGGATCTCGTCTTTCCAATTCATATCCTCTACAGGTACAACGTTTTCTTTCTCTCTTTTCCTTTTCTCTCTCTTTTTTCTCTGTTATGCGCTGTTTTGTTTCTCTCTTCCTTACAAACTCTACTTAAAACATTCTTCTTCGTTATTTCACACTCTGTATATCTCGTCCATTTTGTTACCGCTTACGCCAGTAAATATGCTAACATCTACTTTTCTAGCACCTTCAAACTGTTTAATTTTGGCTTTGCTACAGATGTGCTAATATGTTTTTGTCAAAAACTAACTGAGGTTGCCCTTAATCTATGTACAAACTGGATGCAATACTGAGAATTCCATTCTGTATTACAAGTACTGTTTTGGAATAAAGCAAATTATTATCATTATTATTGTGAGGAAACAAAACAAGTTAAACATACCATGTATGTGCACGAGGCAGTTGATCTACAGAGCCCCAACATTCAACAGTGAATTTTTGTGGTCCACTTGAACCCCATAATTCAGCGAAACCATTCATTGGTACACGTGATGTTCCAGTGACAAATTGTAATAGTCGACTTCTTAATTCATTGGTGAATGTGTAAATAGCCTTTTTTTAAAATAAATAACAGAATGGAAAATACACTTTTAAATCAATAGATGATTATTTCATTTAGCATGAAGTTAAATTGGTGAATGGTGGATGACTGACTAGCAGTGGAACTCGAAGCATCTGAGCATAAGGCACTGACGACATTTCAACCTGAGACCGATTACAGCAACACTTCGGTCCACAATCAATCCACGAGAAAGTCGAAATTGAATTACATCATTACACTGATACCCATTCGTTGCATAAGAAAGAAGTGGCTCTCGTCTGTCTGTTTTCGACAGAGAACTTTGCACCGATATATATATATATATATACTAACATCCAGGAGCAGACACATGACACAGATCACACACTAATAACCAACCCTTGTTTTGCACTAATTTCTCATTAGGTACTTACAATTATAAAATTTGATATTTATTATCGTTACAGTAAGGGCAGTTAACTATGAGGGTAGAATAACAGATTAGTGTAGTTAAAGTGTGACCAAGTAAATATGTAGTATTTATGAGTGAAACACTTGCTGGGCTGAATTCAATTACGCAATATTGTGAAATGAGACACGATGATGAGGGTGGTGATTAGTTATGACAGATTCATACAATGTGGGGGGGGGTGTAGGAAAAATTACCAAGTCAGTTCAAGGTTATACAAAAGGTGTCAGGTGAGTGGCTAGCACAAAGCATTTAAAGGAGATAGTAAGACTGCAGGGAAAAATTCATCATGAAATAGCTATGATTTGAAATGAATCAAATGGAGGCATGAACTGACTGGAGGAAAGGTTACCTCGTGAAACTACCAAAGAAGGGCGACTTACGCCTCACTCTGCAAGAACTGGCGAGGAATCATGCTCTTATCGACGCCAAGTAAAATCCTGAGTCGCATCATCCTGGAGAGATTAAAGGACGCACTGGAGACAGAACTCCGACCAGAACAAGCTGGATTCAGGAAAGGCAAATCATGTACTGACCAAATTGCAACTCTACGCATCATCATCACAGAACAAAGCATGGAATGGCAATCAAACCTCTACCTCAACTTTATAGACTTTGAGAAGGCCTTCGACAGCGTCGATCGTGAAGTAATTTGGAAATTACTCGAGTACTATGGCGTACCCCAAATATTCATCAACCTCATTCAACAGCTGTACGACAACGGCACCTGCCAAGTGATCCACAACGGAAGACTCAGCGAGGCGTTTGGAGTAAACACAGGAGTGAGACAAGGGTGCTTATTATCACCCACAATGATATTCCTAATTGTGGTGGACTGACTGGATTATGCGTCAGACAGTGAGTGGGAAACGAGAAGACAGGAATATCCTGGACCGACGTGAAGAACCTAGAAGACCTGGATTTCGCGCGGCAATGTTCTGTGTCTGATGTCACATACAATCGAAGACTTACAAGCGAAAACCGACAAACTGGTCGAAGAAGCAGCAAAGACAGGACTCCAGGTAAACATAGATAAGACGGAAGTTATGAAAATAACCAACCAACAACAGCAACAACATCCAACGTCAATCAGCATCAACGGGAGGGACTTGAAAGAGGTTACTTCATTCACTTATCTAGGGAGCATTGTCTCAACTACAGGAGGAGCGGACGAGGATGTCAAATCGAGAATCGGGAAGGCGAGAAACACATTCATCAGCCTGAAATCATTCTGGAAATCTTCGTCACTCAGCATCAACAACAAAATTCGGATTTTCAATACAAACGTAAAGTCAGTTCTTCTATACGGATCAGAAACTTGGCGGGTCACAAAGAATATTTCTAACAGCCAGTTGCAGACTTTTATCAGCAAATAACTGTCTTCACTCTATACTGAAGATCAGATGACCAGGCCGGAAAGTATCACCAACAAGAAACTATGGGAAGAAACAAAACAAGAACCAACCAATCGCCCAACAAATATGCAGGAGAAGGTGGAGATGGATAGGGCACTCGCTGAAGAGACCGCTGGGTGACATCGCGCGTCAAGCCCTCGAGTGGAACCCGAAAGGGAAGCGGCGAGTGGGACGTCAGTGCGAGGGTGACATGGAGGAGATCGTGTGAAGAGGAGTTGAAACAGTATGGACTAACTAACATGGATGCAGGTGAAAATTAAGTACAGAAGACAGAGGCAAGTGGAGACGTGCAGTTGAAGCCCTATGTTCCACTAGGAACCCAAGGGAACAATAATAATACAATAAAAAATGGAGGCATGTCTATTGAGAGAATGCTAGAATATATGGTATAAAAATGATAGCGAATAATAATAATAAGCAAAGAGAAAAAAGATATAAGGAGAACAGACACTCTTGGGAGGAAAACGAACAAGAAGACACTTTAATCGTAGGTTGGCCACGGTAGGAACAGAGTCTGAAAACGTGTTGTTTTTTGTGAATACAACGTTCCGGTTTAGTCAATCGTATTGCAACGGCTTCAGCTATTGTATGCACAAGACGTAGGCGAACTTTTGATTTGACACCAGTTAGTAACTAGCGTAATCTGTCTATAGTCCTTTGTCTGGTACAGACTGAATTCTATCAGTCATATTGGCAATGTGGCTACCATCACGGTGCACCTTCAATAGTTGATATTAGACAGTTGGAAGCAATTGGCAGGAAGCCTTGGACCTAGGTTTCATGCTAGTTGGCATATTATAGTAGTTATTGACTAGTATCCAATGTGAAATATCCAATACAATCCTACAGGAGGTCAATCGCGAGCCCGAATAACTCAATAGGAGCGTCTTCAACTGCAGCTCTCACTGTGTGACGCAGGTTCGAATCTCAGAAGGGAGATGAGTTCCTTCAAGGCAGTTGCAGACACGCCTTCCTGACGAGTCCAAGGATTCCTTTGAGCGATTGCCTCCAATCATCTAATATAAGTAGGCGAAATGTACATGATAATAACTTCGGAATTTGACAATATATAACTCTGAAGACTGTGTTAACGTGTCAGTTATAACTAACTAATTGCCACTAAAATCGCCTCTCATTTCACAAGATTTTGTGTAATTAAACTTCATTCAGCCTAGCTGCTCGTTTGTCATACAAACACTCTGCTAATCATCATGACAATTACACAGACAGACTTTACGACAGTCATATATGTCCAAACCAAGTTCACATTTAACAGTTTCAAAAAATTCGGGCATTGGGTATATGATATTCATTATAATAAAGGTTTCTTGCGTATTTCCCAATGAATGAAAAACAAAACGATATTGTCGTTGTTTTTTACCGACTTTTCGCTATTTAATCCTGCTGCTAATAGCTTTCTCAAAGTAGTATTATTAAACAGGAATTTACAAAATCTCAGCATATATATGACAAAGAGTTAAGGGGTGAGAAAACAAACTACTTAGGTTAAGTTAAGCAGATATACTGAAAGTCAATATAACAATGGAGATCACTAAAGCCAAATATCAAAGTTAATAATATATCTGTTATGATATCAAAACAAAGTTTAGTAACTTGATCATCGTTCGTTCTCGAATTGGCCAATTGGAAAAGATAACAAAATCAAGTGTAGATTGTTGGATTTTATCAGTGTGTAAAACTATAAAAGTAGTGTGTGTTTACATAGTGAACTTGCTAATCACATTTGTGTTGATTTTGCCACTTCATGGGGGTGGGGGTGGGGGAGGTGTTGTAACCAGGTCAGATTCTGTTTTAGTCCATCATTCCTATTTAGGCAATTTGGATTCCACTTGATATGAAGTGCTTCTGATAATGTTAGATGTTCTTTGTGATTTCTGAAGTTTTTCTGGTTTATTTCAGTATTGCCAAAATCAATTTTGTGGCCTTATTCTATAGCATGTAGATGAGCTATGGCTGATGATCAACACCAATGTGGTATGCTAGTTCAATATGTAAACACACACTGCTTTTATAATTTTACACACTTATCAAATCCAACAATCTACACTTGGTTTTGTTACCTTTACCAATTGGCCAATTTGACAACGAAAAATGACCCAATACTGACGAACGATGATCAAGTTAGTTTTGATATCATAACAGAAGTACCTTTATTATTTGGTTTAGTGATCTTCTATAGTTTGGTTTGTAAGGGTTAGTTATCTTAGTTAGAGATCTTGTGGTGACAGCAGGCTGCTAGCCAATTGGTAGACATTAATCTACGTCAATGTCTATGTCGCTAATATTGGTCGTGATAATATATGAGCAAGGCTGATTCAACGACCAATCACAGCAGACTTAACGTGGGCATATATGATTCGCAGATAGATGGCTCCATTTTCCGAGGTTAGCCGAAACAACCAATCAGAAGACTGCGTTTGTCTACTTCATTAAGCTATAATAATGTACAGGAAATATATATAAATACGTGTTGATTTCCGTAATAAAACGATCTGTTGCAGGCCCTTGTCTTCTGTTGTTACAATCTTTATTGTTATTTTGACTTTGAATATGTCCTTTCCACTTGACCTAACTTGCCCATTTTCTCACAACTTAACTCTTTGTTATATATATGCTGAGATTTTGTAAATTCTGGTTTAATAATACTTTGATAAAGTTACTAGCAGCAGCATTAAATAGCGAAACGACAGTAAAAACAGGCATATCGTTTTGTTTTTCTTTCATTGGGAAATACGAAAACCTTTATTTTATAACAGTCAGTTAACCAATCAATATGACCTGACCTTGTCTCTAGTGGTTATCATGTGATTATTGGTGTTACCACCTTCAAGTACACTCCCACCAACCTGGGAGAGTGTTGTTTTTCATTGCTTTTTTTTATTTTCACATGCATGTAAGTAAATGTAATCCACACATCAATATATTGCTCTAAACAACATCTTTGTCCTTCCCTTCATGATGAACAGTTGCGCCTTTGTGTATTTGTATTATTTCCTCAATATTTTCGAAATAGATTAAGTTTATTTTAAGTCAGTCAGTTAGTCAATCACCTGAGTTGTGTTTTTTTTTAAATTTATATTGTCAGTACAAATGATGAGAGTTGAAATTTGTAGGAAAATTTAACCCTATAAACACTACCTGCTTATTTTGTCACCTGATAACACTAGTCTGTTATTCTCTACGTGAAAAAATGTATCCACTGCATAAGCTAATCGACCATTAACTGTAACGACAACAAAAATATGATATTTTATAATTCCATATTAGTTTGTTTATTAGATGTATCACACAATGAAACAGTAGTATTTACGGGATGACAAGGTTTCGAACAGAATTTATTGTTGTTCATAATAATATCGATTATAATTACACAACTTTAAAACTTGAGTTTTATAGTTTTCTTTGTTCTCTCCTGTTCGTTGTCGTAGGGATAGTAGAATTTTCTAAATATCTGGGACAGGTATTGAATCATTCCTTTTACACGTATTCTCTCTCTCAGTTGATTCGATAAACAATCAATCTCATCTTATACCCTGTGACATTAGATTTTGAAACTGTCATCCTATCCCATCCTATTGTATGGTTGTGTGTAATTGCATTTAGTGAGTGCTATAGCTGAACTATTCTCTAGATTTCTTATCTTATTCGGGTCAACAAGTCTATGTTTTGCTAGGTTTTTATGCTTGGCTAGTCTGACTGCCCTGTTCTACTACTTTGACCTATGTAGTTGACCTGACAATGATTCCAGCAAGGTACTAGATAAACTAAATTGTTTTGTTTTAAAGGCTCCACGGGATCCTTTAACCGACAAAGCTTGTTTATGGGTTTGAATGCCAGCCAATTTTATTCGTGCCTTGTTAAGAATTCTGCGTAAGGTGGTTCCCGAGTTTCCTTCCTTGTATGGAATTACTACTGATGGTTTAGATTCCTTATTGTAGGTGTTATCTTGCGCATATTTGACATGCATGTCGTCATGAATATTAATATTATCACTATGCCACTATTATTATTATTTATTTTTACATTTCCTTATATATTTCCTGACTAATTTATCAGGGTAATTATAAAGTTTCAAGGCTCCCCTTATATGTATCACTTCCTGTCTTAGATTTTCCTTGGTGCAAGCCTTGAGAGGATTGGAAAGGCAGGATACGCCTTCATCAACCTGAAACCAGTTTGGAAATCTTCCCCTTCACTCACTCAGCTAGCATACAGAACAGGATTCAGATTTTGAACACAAATGTGAAGTCAGTCAGTCGGTTCTTCTATATGAGCCAGAAACCTGCACTGTGCGTCACGAAAGCCATTTTTCCAACAGACTACTACTGCAGATTTTTATCAACAGTTGTCCCCCCTCGCTGACTCCATACTGAAGATCAGACTGGCGATTAGAAATAATTAGCAACAAGAAACTTTGATTGGGAACAAACCGCTCCACTCAAGAACTTATTACTCAACCTATATGTGGAAGAAAATGGAAATGGATCGGATACGTAGTGAGGATACCACTGAGTGACGTCGTACAACAGGCCACATCACTCCGCGCGGAGATCGAATAGGAAACAACAGTTGTGATGAGAGCAGGCTGTCAGCCAAATCGGTAGACATCAATTTACGTCAATGTTTATCTCGCAAATATTGGTCGTGAAAAAATATGAACAAGACTGATTCAACAACCAACCACAGCACACTTTGCGTAGACAGATACAGTTAACATATAGATAAACTGACATTCAAGAAGCAGTTACAAAGAGATGCAAGGTCAACTGTCTGTGAGAAACAACTAATCAGAAGACTGTGTTTCTCTGCTAACAATAATTTATAATAATGTACATGAAAATATATAAGTACGTGTTGATTTCCTTAATAAACGATCTGTTGCCTGGCCCTTGTCTTTTGTTGTTGCGCAGTGACATGTAATCAACAAGGCGTATCTACGCCATCGTAGATATTCAAACCGACAACAGTCAATGTATGGTAGTTAAAAAAACCATACCACTGGAGCAGCTGATTTCATCATCACAAAAGATAACAATAAAAATATTTTTCACGAATTACCTTCCATAAATTCACAATCACTGGATGATTAGCATGATATTCGCCTTTATACAGAGTGTTAGCTTTCCAATCAGTGACACTGATATCTTGTAGACCACACATTAATAATTCTAATTCATTAGCATCAAATATCTGCAGCGCTTCTAAAGGTATCAAATCACTGAAACCTTCAAGAAATGCACACATTTGTTTCTCGACACGTGATACAAACCGCCAATTGATGATGCGTCTATAGAAAAAGAGAAAGAGAGAGGATATTGAATGCAAATTTACCATAAATTTGTTTGTGCGTCGGAAGCACAGCAGTTAAGACGCTCGCCGGTCCGGGGTTCGATCCCGGCCGCCAACGCACTCCTTTACCTCGCTAAACCAGAAATAATGCTGGAGTAAAGAGGAAATGTTGGACATGAGGCCAGCTAGCAACCCCCCATCCTGTAAAAATAAACACCACTGCTACAGAAACTTCAAGCCACTAGCTTGAGGCCTTATGTTCCACTGGGAACGTGAAGGAAAGTATAATAAAATAATAAATAAATTTTTTTTACAAAACTGAAATTTAATCCAACAGAGTTAATGATATCCAAGTGTTGGTTTTCACAGATTTCTCGTTGTATTTGTTGTTTTGGTTATAGTGAAATTTATAAATTCTTATAAAATTAGTTTGTAGGGATTCTGTTCGCTTCAGGTTACACCAAGGATTTCTTTTGATTATAGCTTGATTCCACACCGTATTTTCGGTACAAGTATGGAATTTCTAGCATGTGATACCGGTAGCCGAAATTTGGCAGACTGACCATTGATATCAGGTGTGCGTCGGTAGAGGATCATGTGCATGGTCAGTGAGAATCATAACTGCTGTGCCACCGACGCGCTGATATCAGTTAGAGCGGGAATCATTGAAAACCAGAATGGAGTACTACTGGACAGCTGTTCAGTCAGCCGGGAGTATGCACTCACCAATGGTGTTAGAACCCACGACCTACAGCCACTGGGACCCAACTCAATGACCAGCTCATGTATTCCAACTTCTACCAATTCGTAATGAGTTTAGCGCGACCACACTAACAAATGTCATCGGTGGGAACTCCACTGTCACTTCCGACTGGATGCACCTCACTTGTCACGACTTCTCAGCAGGGTTCACTCCAGGAAACTCTGTCATTAGCGAGCATCAGATTAATTTTCAAGAATTAGTATGTAGGGATTCTATTCGTTTCAGGTGGAGGAGAAAGTTGCCTGAAGTGAAAAGTCGAGACTAGTGGGGTCCATCCAGTCTATAGTGAGAATGTAGTACTCACCGATGACATCGGTTGATGACCGCGCTAAATGCATCACGAATTGGTAGAGATTAGAATTCATGGGGTGGCAGCCATCGAATCGAGTCAGTCCCAGTGGCTGAATGGTGTACGATCTTGCCTTGTAACCGGAAGGTCCTAGATTCTAAAACTAGTAGGTGCGTACTGCCGATGAGTCCGAAACTGGTGCGAAACAGCTCTTCAGTATTCCTTAGTTTTCAATGGCTCTCTGACTGATTATCATTCTCAAGTCTAACCTGACAGACATTTATAAAGGCGAATAAGTTTAAGAGGGTTATTCAGTCGTCTATTTCTTCTTTATGAACAGGATGATACCTCAAATAAGTGGAACTATTCATCACATTACTCTAAGGATTAAATAACGAGGATGCAAGAAAACGCCCTGGTACATCCAAGGGCCGATGGACTACGGTCCTTACCTCGAAATCGTCTTATGTGGCCCCACGCGTTTATAGTGCGTCGGTGGCACAGTGGTTAGGACTCTCGCCGACCATGCATATGGTCCGGGGTTCGATCCCCTGCCGATGCACACCTGATATCTATGGTAGGCATGCAAAATTTGGGCTACCGATATCATATGCTGAAAATTCCATACCTGTACTAAAAAATACGGTATGGAATCAAGCAGTAACCAAAAATAAAAAAATTAAAAAAAAATAGTTCCTATCAGACTTCACGGGGAGGGGTTATTCCTCACAAAAGTGAAAGGACGAATACAAATGACTAGTGCTTACACGTAGGAAAGCTGAGAAACACTGACTACATAGACTCCACAATCCGACGGGATCAAACGGTGTATGAACCTGTTCCGTACAACAGAAGCCGTGCGAATGCGCCTCCTGTCTTGTGGATCATACTTCAAAAGCCAAAGGCTCAGGAGATTATCCCTTGAAACAATTACCTGCTTCGGTCCCAGAGTCCGAGGGCAGTATCTCAACTCTCGAGCAAAATATGAGATTTTGTGCGATGTGTCTTTTGGTGCCCATAATGTATGAATTTTTCTTACAGGGTTTTTCATCGCGAGCTAACATCTGTTAGAGAGAACTATTGGAAAACCTAACAGTACTGGGCAGCTGTTTCGTCCTAGTTTTTGACTCCTCACCACCAGTCAGTATACACTGGAATCCCAACCCAGGACATTCAAGTTACAAGGCGACGGAGTTTGTATTTTAATAGCAATAATAATACTAAAAATCAAGTGCGAAAATAAAGAATTACGGCATTCATACCAACTTACTCTATATAGTGTGTTTTATTACTATTTGTAACACGAATATTTCTACCGTCTTTAACAAGATCCACTTCAACAGTTTCACCAAAATGCTCCTCTTCAACTGACATTGATAAATCCAAGGATGCAGGATCTTCTTTCAGAATATACTTTAAACTTCGATAGTATTCAGAGTCAACAGCTTCCATATCTTTCAATGATATTGTCTTACCAAGCATCATTTTGTAGAAAGGTCGAATGAAAAATCCATCTACCAGTTTACCATGATACACTGCCATACCGACAACACGACCAATAAATTTAAAATATTTTAAGTGTTCTTCATTAGCTACACCCGAGAGTGGATTGATTTGAAGGGTATAATTATCTCTGTTTGAAATAAAAGGAAACAATAATAATTAAACGAACGAAATAGAATTAATACCCCTCATGTAATTTAATAAATTCAAAATACACACACTCACATAGGTCAGGTCAGGGGCCAGCAAAGAATACTGTCATCCTAACTTTACTTTAAAGCCATACTGTGGTGAGAGCAGGCTGCTAGCCAATCGGTAGACATTAATCTACGCCACTGTCTAGGTCACTAATATTGGCCGTGAAAAAATATGAATAAGGCTGATTCAACAACCAATCGCAGCAGACTTAAACGTGGGCATATATGATTCGCAGATAGATGGCTCCACTTTCCGAGAAATCTCAAAAACAACCAGTCAGAAGACTGCGTTTGTCTACTTCAATAAGCTATAATAATGTACATGAAATATATATAAATACGTGCTGATTTCCGTAATAAAATGATCTGTTGCCTGACCCTTGTCTTCTGTTGCTACAATATGACAACACAATGTTGCTTAATTGAATTTTAGATTTTCAACCTGACACCGAGCACTACTTCGGTCCAATCAATCCGAGAGGTGGCTGTCGTGACCCAAGTAGTCTAGTGGATAATGCTTTGGCATTTGAAACTATGGGTGCACTGGGTTCGACCCTCGGTGGTGGGAACATCATTACTCAATGACTGGGGAATGCAGGCACATTCCAGCTGATGAGTCCCAAATAGGACGAATCGCGCTTTATCTTGGATTCCACTGCTAGGTTTCACCATCCATCAATTAAATTCTAATGTCGCTTAAAGGTGAGGGAAACGTCACCAAAGTCAATTGTTCCTATCGGTTGGGAGCGCAAAATATATGAAATTACATATTACAGAAAGATATTGTGTAATGTCAATTAATACTGCGAGACACTCATTCCTTATTGTCTTATGATTACGTAACTTAGGTAATATGGTAAAGTGTAATTCCATATTAGATACAGTGCTGCTGTATTAACAACTGGATGACAAGGTTTCGAGCACAATTTTATTGCTCATAATTATATCGATTTTAATCATATGGTTTTACAATTTGTCTTACATATATTCTTATTTTTCTCCCTGATCTACTTCCCCAACTCCTCTCGATTGTTTGTTGCCGATTTCCATTTCTCCGGTAGAGGCGATGCGTTGCGTCATTCCGATTACACGTGTGAGGTGTTGCATCGACAAGGCAAAACTTCAGTGATTAACCACCTGTCTCTTCATCTAACTATAACTATAGCAGGTTGACGATGAGGAAGTAACTCACTCATCGAAAAAGACATTGCAAAATGGTCGCGATATGTCGTGAATTGGCAAAAGTTAGAATTCATGGGCCATTGGATCATACCTTGCAATCACTGTGAGTTAAGTCAACTACACAGGTCAAACTGGTTGATCGGAAGTAGTCACATTTCACATTAGAACATACGAATTTAGCTAAGGGTTCAAATGATTGCTCTCACGAAGATAAGTAATTTAGAAGACAGCTCAGCAATTGGTATGGTATGTGGTAAATTATATTATTTTTCTTAATTTGGATCTATTGAGTCCTTAAGCCGACAAAGTTTATCTGTGAGAGAGTTAGCTGGCTTAAAAGTCACCCTAATTCCAGAGTCATTGGGCATTCTACGTAAGGCCTCTGACATCCTTTCTTCATACAGCAGGATTTCAGAGGCTTTGAATTCTTTGTTATTTCTGCTATGGTCTATGCTCTTTCACTAGTCGCTTTCTGTAAATACTTTTATTTTTTAATTTTACTTTCAGTTTACTTTTGCTTTAATAATTAATTCACTATTATCACTCTCGAATGTTTTTTTTTTCTACATTTTCACAATCTCTGCAAATTTGTTAAATTGACAATCACCTAAAACCTTTATTTTCACTCAATAAGAATTTTAACCTTAGAGATGATAGAGAAGATTAGTAACTCAGGTGGAATATTTTGATGTGGTTGTGTTTTCTGAGCTGGATAGTAAATTTGCGAAGCGAAGACAAAATTTATCAACGGAAAAGAAAGAAACCTCACACATAAAAGGTCAAAGTTCTAGTCCAGGAAACAATCAGTTCGAATACAAGTAGCCTAGAAGGTGTGAAAACACAAAAAAAAACGACCAATCACGTCCAAGGTGGAAACCGACCAGGAGAGATGATTAATAAACTCGTGGAGAAATCTAAAAGCTCACTTCAGATTGAAGTATGCGCTGAAGGAAGATGTTGTCTAGTAACACAATGATGAAAGCTTCACAAATAAAGCGTCCACCTCAGAGAACGTAACCACATCAAAAGTTTAACCTCATCAAATTTCTAACACTTTTTTTTGTTTCTGCTGTTAAGTACTGCGTAATTTACAACTTTTAATTTTTTCAGGATTTCATCATGAGCTGACATTAGTTAGAGAACCATTGGAAAACCTGGGAGTACTGGACAGCTGTTTCGTCCTAGTTTGGGACTCTTCAGCAGTACGCACCCACCGGGATTCGAACCCAGGACCTTCCGGTTACAAGGCGAGCTCGTATACCATTAAGCCACTGGGACCCGATCCAATGGTCCTTGAATTCTAACTTCTGCCAATTTAATTTTTTACTTCTAAAGCCACTTTTGAGTATTTATATCAATTGTCACTCCCCCCCTCCCCATATTACTCAATAATACATATTTTGTAAATATATAAATACGATTGTACGGCAGCCTCTGAAGATGATTTCGTCGATAGGGAAAATTTTGATGCCATTGAAAGGATTCCCACTCTTTTGAAGACGGTTAGTAGGTACTAAACCTTCATTCTTTTCAACACTGGAGAGTTACAGTGTATTTGAACTCTTTTAAACAATGTCTGCACACACTTTCTTCTGTGAGTAATTGGGTTACTACTATTGTAGTTGGGTGTTTGGTCTGTGTATAATTACGTTTCTAAGTGTCCGGTGTTAGTTATCAAAATTAAGACATGTGAGAATAGAGTTTTGTTATCTAATTCTTCTTCTCTCGTCAGTTTACTGTCTTCGAATAAGTTATTTGTTAATTTATGGGTGTAATCCACATAACCAGAAGATCCAGAGGTTTCAACCTCCTGTGGGGTGGGTGCGTAACTATCAAGGAGCTGCGAAGTACTCCCTGTCTGTCTGGTTTTCAAATGGTTCTCTCAGCCTGATATATCAATCCGTGACTAAACACTTGAAATAATATTGATAATATTAATATGAACAAGTCAAAGGAACACCCATGTGGTCGCCAATATCAGGTTTGATCGCAGAAACAGTGGTGCAAAGGTTCAAAAACATAATTCTATCAAAGAGCAAACCAAAGATTTGGATACGCTACGTCGACGACACATTTGTAATAACCATAAAAACGAGTTAGATAAAACTCACAACTTAATAAACAACGTCTTCAATGACATCAAATTCACAAGAGAAAAGGAATCCGAAAACAAACTCCCATTTTTGGACGTCCTAGTCAAGCGAACAACCACAGGGGAATCAGAAACTCAAGTTTATGGAAAATCAAGTCACACAGATCAAATCCTGAATTACAACAGCAACAATCCAATAACACACAAAAGGAACTGCATAAAAATACTATTCAAGAGGGCCAGTCAGGAATCATTGCAACACTCCCACCTTAAAAAAAATTGAAGAAAGATATATCATGGACGTCTCCCAAAAGAATGAATATCCACGGAAGTTCATCAAAATACATATACCCCAAGCCAACCTATCAAACCAAAATTATTATATTATATTATTGTATCCTTTAGTTCCTAGAGGAACATAGGGCTTCAGCTGCGCACCTCCATTGCCTTCGGTTTCCTGACAACTTTTTCACCCTGCTCCAGGTCTGTCCACATGCTTTCATCTCCTCTTCACATGACCTCCTCCAAGTCACCTTGGCACTGACGACCAACTCGACGCTTCCCTTTCGGGTTCCACCCGAGGGCTTGTCTACTGATGTCACTTGATGGTTTCCTCAGCGTATGGCCAATCCATCTCCATTTCTTTCTGCCTATTTGTTTCACAATCGGTTCCTGATTGGTTCGCTCCCAGAGATCCCTGTTGCTGATCTTTTCTGGCCATCTGATCTTGAGTATTGAGCGGAGACAGCTGTTAATGAAGGTTCTAAGTTTGTTTGGGATGCTCTTTATGACTCGCCAAGTCTCTGATCCGTATAGCCAGTACCACTGACTTCACATTGGAGTTGAAAATCCGGATTTTATTTTCCCTGTTGAGTGCTGTTGACCTCCACACAGACTTGAGCGTAATGAAAGCTTGTCTTGCTTTTCCGATCCTTGCTTTGATATCCTCGTCAATTCCGTCCACCTGTGGTTGAGACGATGCTTCCCAGGTAGGTGAAGGAGGCTGTTTCTTTCAGGTTCCTCCCATTTATGCTGATTGTTGTCTGTTGTTGCTGTTGCTGTTGATGTTGGCTAGGAATCTTCATCACCTCTGTTTTATCTATGTTCACTTGAAGTCCTATCTTTGATGCTTCTTCTGCCAACTTGTTACTTTTCACTTGCATATCTTCCAGTTTATGGGAAATCAGACATATATCATCGGTGAAGTTCACATCCTCCAAGTCTTTCGTGTCAGTCCATTTTATGCCCGTTCCCTCGTTGGTTGCCGCTGTCTGTCGCGTTATCCAATCAATTGCAATCAGGAAGATCATTGATGATAGTAGACAGCTTTGTCGCACTCCCGTCCTCACTTCGAAGGCTTCCGTAAGTTTCCCGTTGTGGATTACTTGTCATGCAGCATTGTCGTATAACTGTTGGATGAGATGTATCATTGTCGATGGGACCCCTTGGTAGTAGCGAAGTAGTTGCCAAATCACCTCTCGATCGACGCTGTCGAAGGCCTTCTCGAAGTCGATGAAGTTGAGCGGGATAGAGAGGTGACTGCCATTCCAAGCTTTGTTCAATGATGATCCGTAGAGTGGCGATTTGATCAATACATGATTTGTTTCTCCTGAATCCAGCCTGTTCCGGACGAAGTTTTTCATCTAGGTTGGCTTGTTTGATTCTCTCCAGGATGATGCGACTTAGTATCTTGCTTGGAATGGACAGAAGCATAATTCCACGCCAGTTTTTACATTGACTTAAGTCTCCTTTCTTTGGAAGTTTGAATAAGTATCCGTTCTTCCAATCCTCGGGTACTTTGCCCTCTTTCCACACCTTCTCCAGTAGTGGTGTCATCAAGTCCGCTGTTGTCTCTGGGTCTATTTTCAAAGCTTCTGCTGGGCCCCAAGGAAACCACAAAGAAAATTGCCTTACCATATCTGAAGGATATCTCAGAAATCACTAGAAGACTCTTCAAACCTTTAGGAATTGACGTCGTACACAAACCAACAAAATCACTTCACTCAGCTGGGTCTATGTCTACCAAACGACTTAACGATGGAATGAAGATAAAACCTACATCATCTACAAAAACACTACATTGACCAAAGTGGACGTCCCCTTCGTCTTTTTATCCACCAACATAAGCTAGCCGTCAAAAGACATGATATCCACTCCATCATATTACTACATACAGACAATCACGACATCAATTCGACTGGAACAACGTTCAAATATTAGACAGAGGAAACACCAAGAATGCTAGAGAATTTTTAGAAGCCTGGCATTCCAGTGAATGATCAATCAATAGACACATAGAGATCGACAAAATTTATCAAACGATGAGAAAGAAACCTCACATACAAAGGGTCAAGTTTCAAGTGAAAGAAACAATCAGTTCCAATACATGTATCCTAGAAGGTATGAAAACACAGAAAAACAACCAAAGAGTCACGTTCCAGGTCACTAGGAGAGATGATTAATAAACTCGTGGAGAAATCTAAAAGCTCACTTCAACAAATTGAGGTGTATACGGTGAAGATGTCGCCTAGTAGGGCGATGAAAGCGTCGCAAATTAACTATCCAGCTCAGAGAACACAACCACATCAAAATCATCCACCTGAGCTACAAATCTTCTCTATCATATATAATGCTGATAATAATAATAACGATAACACTTTAAAATAAATAAATAAAACAATTGACTTACGCAGCTGAATACTCGAATAAACCATAATAAGGATTGAACATTTCACGTGATAATAAGAAAAACCATTCTCTCTGTACACCCCCGTAATCTAAGCCTTTCTCACCGATAAACTCAATCCATAATCTGAAAAAATACATATATACACATAGAGGCGTGTAATTGAAAAAAGGAACACTGTCGATTAGATAATCACTGAGATATATAACGAGATCATATTTATCCATGAATTACTTCAAACAATAGAGATTTAATTGTTTTGGATGAAAGATTCCATCATGAACTGATATCAGTTAGAAAACCACTGGAAAACCCGTGAGTACTGAACAGCTGTTTTGTCCTAGTTTGGGACTCTTCATCAGTACGCAAGGACCGTGAACAGTGGTGGGCGACAAAAGCCAAAGAGATGGAGAAAGCTTTGAGGATAGGCAACACCAGGCAACTCTTTGGACTCATCAGGGAAACGGGTGGGAGAAGACAAATCATCAGTGAGACAATCTCGGAAAAAAATGGCACTATAATTAGCTCCAGGATAGACGACTGGATCGTTGGAAAGAGCATTATGAGGAGCAGTTTAATTTGCCCACAGCCACGCTCAACCTTCCGAGCATCCAACACCTCCCTGAATGGGATATAAACACAGGTCCTCCGTCACTAACTGAGGTTACTAAAGCTGTCACCAATCTGAAACTAGGCAAAGCAGCGGGACCTGATGGAATGACGCCAGAGGTATTTAAGTACGGTGGAGACAGCTTACTGTCCGGATTAACTGAGGTACTAGGCAGCGTCTGGGAATCAGAAGAAGTCCCATCGGGTTGGTGTAAGTCACTGATTATCCCCATATACAAGAAGGGAGACAAGTCTTCCTGTGATAATCACAGAGGGATTAGCTTGACTAATATAGTATCTAAAGTCTTAGGCTCAATAATCATGCGTAGACTGAGTGGTGCTCGGGAAGCACAAACACGAGAGAGCCAGGCAGGCTTTAGACCAGGAAGAGGGTGTATTGATCATATCTTCACCCTCCGACAGATTCTAGAACATAGGCATTCCTACCGGCGTCCAACAGTCATTATATTTCTTGACCTAAAGGCAGCATTCGACTCTGTCGATCGGGAAGTTCTCTGGAGATGCTTGGCTGTAAAGGGAATTCCAAGAAAATATATTGCACTGATTAAGGCACTCTATTCGTACTCATACAGCCAGGTGAGGGCTTACGGCGAGCTGTCATCTGAACTGATGACGACCAGTGGTGTCCGTCAAGGATGCCCATTATCTCCTTTTCTATTCAACTTCATCATAGATGTGTTAATGGACTTAACCCTAGGTGACTTCAGCGACTCAGGGATTGACTTGCTACCTGGGAATAATCTCGTTGACTTGGAATATGCAGACGATATAGTCCTTCTAGGCGAAGACGCTGACGAAATGCAGAGTCTTCTAAACACCTTGAGCCGCAATCTACGAATGTTTGGCATGCGATTCGCTCCCGCCAAATGCAAGATGATGTTACAGGACTGGACTACATCGACGCCTAGTTTAAAAATAGGAAGTGAAGTGGTAGAGCACGTTGACCGCTTCACTTATTTGGGAAGTACCATCAGCCCCAACGGGCTGATCTCTGACGAAATCTCAGCACGAATACAAGGGGCTCGTTTCGCATTTGTTAGTTTACGCCGACTCTGGCGTAGACGAGATGTTCGACTATCGACCAAAGGGCGGGTGTACTGCTCATCAGTCCGCTCCGTCCTCCTTTATGGTTGTGAGACCTGGCCACTGAGAGTGGAAGACATGAAAAGACTAGCTGTCTTTGATCATAGGTGCCTGCGTTCTATTTCCCGTGTAAAGTGGCATAATAAGGTGAGCAACATGGAGGTTAGGCGTAGAGTTCTAGGTAAACAGGGGAAATCAATCGACGAAGTCGTGAAGCTACAAAGACTGAGATGGTTAGGACATGTGTTACGTATGCCAAGTCATCGCCTCCCTCGACGAGCTATGTTAGCGGATATAGGGTCAGGCTGGAAAAAAGCTAGCGGCGGTCAAACAAAAACTTGGCATCAGTCAATGAAATCCACAACAGTTGGTCTAAGCCACGTAGGAAGGTGTAGACTTCCAGGCTGGGGTCCTCGGGACGGTAAAAATCTATGGTTGGAAACAATTGGTGACATGGCTCAAAATCGTTCTCAGTGGCGCAGATGCATCCACTCCCTGTGACTTATGATCTTCAATGAAACTGTTTTGTATTTCTTTATTACTCCTTTGTCTCACACCTCTGCTCACTGTTTCTATTATGCTTTTCTTGTACTTTCTTCTCTTGCTTCGCGTGCTACACGGAATGTGGCGACTTGAACTTCCGCACATTTGTGCAAAGTTCTATGTCGAAAACAGACAGACAGATAGACAGATGGGAGTATCCTTAACTGAACGTAATGACTTAGGAATCGACTTGTTACCAGGGAATAGTCTTATGGTCTTAGAATATGCAGATGACATAGTCCTGTTAGGGGAGGATGCTGACAAAATGCAGAGTCTTCTGAACACCTTGAGCAGCAATCTTCGTATGTTTGGCATTCGATTCGCCCCTACAAAATGTAAGATGCTGCTACAGGACTGGACCACGTCAACTCCTAACTTAGTGATAGGGAGTGAAGTAATAGAACATGTTGACCACTCCACCTACTTGGGAAGTTGTATTAGCACCAACGGACTGATTGGCGATGAAATCTCAGCACGGATCTAAAAAGCTCGAGCTGCTTTCGCTGACTTACACCACCTCTGACGTAGGCGTGACATCCGGTTATCAACCAAGGGACGTGTGTACTGCTCATCAGTTCGTTCCGTCCTTCTCTATGGCTCTGAAACATGGCCAATACGAGTTGAAGACATGAAAAGGTTGACTGCTTTCAATCATAGATGTCTGCGATCCCTGTCTCACGTTAGGTGGTTTCACAAGGTAAGTAATGTTGACGTTAGGCGTAGAGTGTTGGGCAAAGAGGGAAAATCAATCGACGAGGCTATAAAGTTACATAGATTGAGATGGCTAGGTCACGTGGTGCGCATGCCTAACCATCGCCTCCCCCATTCGACGGGCATTGCTAGCTGATATAGGTGCAGGTTGGAAAAGAACCAGTGGTGGCCAAACAAAAACATGGCCTCATCAATCCATGAAATCCTTGACAGTTAAACTGAGTCAGGTAGGGAGATGCAGACTCCCGGGTTGGGGCCCTCGGGACTGACTCTAGGAATCAATGGCTGGAGACAATAGGTGACATGGCTCAAAATCGTTGTCAATGGCACAGATGTATTCAGTCTCTGTAATCTTTCATATTCCTTTCTACCATTACCCATTCTGTTTCATTCTTATACTTGTCAGACTGTATTGGTTCTCTTCACCCATCTTCTTGTCTACCTCTGTGTGCTATTTGGAAGGTGGCAACTGGAACTGGTGCACTTCGGTGCCAAGTTCTATGTTGAATCCAGACAGACAGACAGACGCACCAACCACAGGGGTTCGAACCCAGGACCTTTTGGTTACAAGGTTAGCCAGGTCGTAGACCATTGAGTCACTGGGACTCGATGGAATGGTTCGAAGCCCGGTAGGTGTGTGCTATTGAAGAGTCCCCAACTAGGACGAGACGGCTGTTCAGTAATCCCGGCTTCTCCAGTGATTTTTCAACTGATATCACCTCATGATGAAATTCTCCATGCAATCAAACAAAATCCCTACAAAACCAATACTAGAAAATTTAATTCTTTTCTCCATCTGATATATATACTAGAAGGTTAAGAGTGTTGTCACTCACCCTTCAGAAAGAATATTGTTAGTATTATTGTTATTCTCTAAGATTCCAAGTAGAACACAGGGGTTCAACAGCATATCTGGTTTATCCAGGGACACTGAACAGAAATTATTTATTATTATTTCCTTTAATTCCCAGAGGAACAGCTGCACGTCTCCATTGCGTTCGGTTCTCTGCTGACGTTTACACCTGGCCCTAAGTCTGCCCACATGCTTTCATCTCCTCTTCACATGACCTCCTCCAAGTCACCTTGGCAAGTTGAAAATCCGAATCTTATTTTTTATGCTGAGTAGTGCTGTTGACCTCCACACAGACTTGAGAGTAATGAGAGATTGTCTTGCTTTCGCGGTCCTCGCTGCTTTGATATCCTCGTCAGTTCCGTCCGCCTTTAGTTGAAACTATCCTTCTCTGGTAGGTGGGTAGGTATAGGAGGTTGTTTCTTTCAGGTTCCTCCCATTTATGCTGGCTGATTGTTGTCTGTTGTTGTTGCTGTTGGCCAGGAATCTTCATCACCTCTGTTTTCTCTATGTTTACCTGAAGTCTTATCTTCGCTGGATGCTTCTTCTGCCAACTTGTTGCTTTTCACTTGCATATCTTCCAGTTTGTAGGGAATCAGACATATATCATCGGCGAAGTCCAGATCTTCCAAGTTTTTTGTGTGGGCCCATTTTATGCCTGTTTCCTCGCTGCCCACTGCGCGTCTGTCACATTATCCAATCTACTGCAATCAAGAAAATCATTGGAGATAGTAGGCAGCCAGCCAGCCTTGCTTTACTCTCGTCTTCACTTCGAAGGATTCCGTAAGTTTCCCATTGCAGATTACTTGGCATGGAGCATTGTCGTACAACTGTTGGATGAGATGTATAATTGTCGGCGGCACCCTGTAGTAGCGAAGTAGTTACCACTGAGCCAAAAACTTGATAATATTTGTGATGTACTAATCAGATACGGATATGAGAATAAATTGTTGAACAAACACATGAACTCAGCAAGTAAAAATGCAAGAGCATAAGGAAGTTTTTAAAACTGCATTGATTCACCTTTTTCAAATTTGGTAGGATTTCGATGGCAGACATACTCACACCACCTAGGACACTTGTCATATTTTCTATAGTTTGGTTTGTAAGGATTAGTTATGTTTTACGAGTTGATCACGGATTGATATCAGTCAGAGAACCATTGAAAACCAGGGAGTACTGGACAGCTGCTGCCTTGTACCTGGAAGGTCCTGGGTTCGAAACCCAGTGGGTGCGTACTTGTCATATTCTTCTAAAGAGTGTTAGGTTTTGTAGGGATTTTATTTGATAGGTTCGAGGATTTCATCATAAGCTGACATCAGTTAGAGAACCAATGGAAAACCTGCCAAGGAGTACTGCCAGACAGCTGTCTCTTCAGCCTAGTCAGGGACTCTTCACAGTACGCACTCACCACCGCCAAGGTTCGAACCCAGGTCCTTCTAGTTACAAGGCGAGCTAGCTCGTTGACCATTCACCCACTGGGACCCAATTCAATGGCCAGTCGTCCATGAACTCTAACTTCTGCCAACTCATGACCTAGCGCAACTACTCCGCAATATCTTCTTCGATGAGTTACTGCCCAGCCTTCAACCTGCTGCACCTTACTGGTCCCGTCTTCCCACTAGAACACCAGGTTAACCACCTGAATAGGGCCAGTCGCTAGTGAGCATCATATTATTCTTACTCGGCACATAATTATTCGAAATGTGATAACACTAAATGTGTGGTGAGAGCTGGCTATGAACAAGCCAAAATTGTAGACAACAATTCACATCAATGCTGTTTACGTCTCGAATCGGGGTCATGAGGCAAAAAACAATAACAAAGCTTAACCTGAGGAACTCACCAACCAATCATGGCAGACTTGAGATGTGCAAATACGATTGGCATAAATGTGGCTTAACTTTCTAAGAAACGGCCACAAGTAGTACAAACAGAATAACCTTCAGTAAGAAAACAACCAATCAGAAGAGCTTGATTCTCTGCTAACACTAACAATAACGCTAATAATAATGTAAACAATAATCTATACATATCTGTTGATTTTATCAATAAACGATCTGTTTGTTGCCTGGCTCTTGTCTTCTGTCATTGCAAATGGACCCCTTCTACACAACGACCTATAGTTTTCAGTTGGTTTAAGTGGCTATTTTAAAAGTCATTAGCGAGTAACTCTTGAAAGTATTCGCATGTCTGCAAAAATCAGTCAGTCCATTCTCGACATAGAACTTCGCACATTTCCTGTTGTGGATTTCATTGACTGATGAAGCCATTTTTTGGTTTGACCGCCGCTAGCTCTTTTCCAGCCTGACCCTATATCCGCTAACATTGCTCGTCGAGGGAGGCGATGGCTTGGCATACGTAACACATGTCCTAACCATCTCAGTCTTTGTAACTTCACAACTTCGTCGATTGATTTCCCCTGTTTACCTAGAACTCGACGCCTAACTTCAATGTCGCTCACTTTATTATGCCACTTTACACGGGAAATAGAGCGCAGGCACCTATGATCAAAGACAGCTAGTCTTCCCATGTCTTCCACTCTCAGTGGCCAGGTCTCACAACCATAAAGGAGGACGGAGCGGACTGATGAGCAGTACACCCGCCCTTTGGTCGATAGTCGAACATCTCGTCTACGCCAGAGTCGGGGTAAACTGGCAAATGCGAAACGAGCCCCTTGTATTCGTGCTGAGATTTCGTCAGAGATCAACGTGTTGGCACTGGCTGATGGTACTTCCCAAATAAGTGAAGCGGTCAACGTGCTCTACCACTTCACTTCCTATTTTTAAACTAGGCGTCGATGTAGTCCAGTCCTGTAACATCATCTTGCATTTGGCGGGAGCGAATCGCTCGCATGCCAAACATTCGTAGATCGCGGCTCAAGGTGTTCAGAAGACTCTGCATTTCGTCAGCGTCTTCGCCTAGAAGGACTATATCGTCTGCATATTCCAAGTCAACGAGATTATTCCCTGGTAGCAAGTCAATCCCTGAGTTGCTGAAGTCAGCTAGGGTTAAGTCCATTAACACATCTATGATGAAGTTGAATAGAAAAGGGGATAATGGGCATCCTTGACGGACACCACTAGTCGTCACCAGTTCAGATGACAGCTCGCCGTAAGCCCTCACCTGGCTGTATGAGTACGAGTAGAGTGCCTTAATCAGTGCAATATATTTTCTCGGCATTCTCGGCATAACATGGAAATATATAAATACGTGTTGACTTCCTTAATAAACGATCTGTTGCCTGGCCCTTGCCTTCTGTTGTTAAAGTGGCAGTATTTAGGGGTTTCAAAATATGATATGATATAACTCACCTATGCATAAGAACTTCTGGTCTTTTAATCCCATAAATAAGTCGAAATGAATCTTCAAAAATACCCGCTCGAGTGACACGTAATTCAAATTTCGCTTGTGGATCACGTGGTGCCTTAAGTCTCGAACGAAAGTAATCATATTTTTGTTTATAATTTCTTGAATATGGAACAGCTGGCCCGCCTAGTCGTTCCAACCGTGGATCTTCCCATTGTGTAGTTCGAGCATCTAGGATAAATCATCAAATTAGAGATAAAAAAGAAAAGAGAAAACCAACGCATGAGAATCAATGTTACACTCTGTGCTGATGCAAGTTACCACATTTTAGAGCTGATAAAAGGAGGGATATATAGATAACACATATATAGCAAAAAGGTGGTGAGAAAGTAACAAAGGGCAAATAGGTGAATACGACAAACCCAATCCTATAGTGATTTCAGGATTTCATCATGAGCTGACATTAGTTAGAGAACCATTGGAAAACCTGGGAGTACTAAACAGCTGTTTTGTCCTAGCTTGGGACTCTCCAGCAGTACGCACCCACCGGGATTCGAACCCAGGACCTTCCGGTTACAAGGCGAGCTCATATACCACTAAGTCACTGGGACCCGTTCCAATGGTCCTTGAATTCTAACTTCTGCCAATTCACGATATAGCGCGACCGCTAGCCAATGCCTTCGGCGAGTATTCGTCCTCACGCCCGACCCGCTGCACCCTACTGGTCACGACTTCCCACTGAAACCCAGGTAACTGCCTACCTGAATAGGGCAAGTCGCCAGTGAGCATCTCATTGGTATTCAAGTGATGGTTTGTAGGGATTTGATTGGTTCCAGGACTTCATCATGAGCGGACATTAGTTAGAGAAGCATTGGAAGACCTGAGAGTACTGGACAGCCAGCTGTTTCGTCCTACTTTGGGACTCTTCATCAGTACGCACCCAACGTGATTCGAACCCAGGACCGGTTTGAAACTTAGACTACCGAAAACCGCTACCAATATATAATATTGCAAATAAATTCTCTTATTCACACTTTGTTTAAATCTCCTAAATTATGATCTCTAGTAGTGATGTTTACTCTTATTTTTTGTTTCCTTTACGTTCCCAGTGGAACCATAGGGTGGCTTCAAGCTCGAGGCTTTTGAAGTTTCGGTAGCAGTGGTGTTTACTTTTACGGGATGGGTTTGCTAGCCTCATTTTATGAATGATAATAATAATAATAATCTGCTTTATTCTAAAACAGACAGTACTGAATAATACAGAATGGAATTCTCAGCATTTGTCACAATATGGCATCTGATTTACCCTTAAAATATAAATAAAATAAACATTTAAAACAAAATAAATCAGAGGAATTTGTCCACGTTTACGATATAAAGTCAAAAATATTCGAAGCACGAATTGAGAATATTAAAAATAAGAATAATAATAATAACAGTGAGTTTGTTTCAAAAAAGTATTGTCGATTCAATTTGGAAATTTTATCATGCTATAGATTATTGGATCTAATGTTCTGTTGACATAGCAGCATGGTGAGGAGAAATACAAAATTAACAGTTTTAACACAGCTTAAACGATGTTCACACTTATGTAAAAATAAATAAATAAAAACAAAAAATTGAGAGGATTATAAATATATAAGAAGTACAATAACAATAAAGGTTGATGTTGTAAGGGTGGAGGAAATGGTTTACGTATTAGTGAAAAGATGGTTAGTTAGTTACTTCGTGCCTGACACTATTTTCATCACATAAAACACGTGCAGAGAAATATGGTATAGTGTGCCATCGCCAGGCATCTCCTCGACACAGGTCATGAGGTGGACGTCGAAAAGTCGTTCAAAATTATCAATTGGCAAAAGAGCTGAATCCTCCTTAAGTTTGCTGAAGCCATTTGCATCAAGCGCCTGAAACCTGATTTATGTATCCAGAAAGAAGCGGTTATCAGTCTTTTTTGCCCTGGTAACTGGATATTTTCACCTCTTTTCCTCTCGAATGCGAAATGCTAAAAGTTTTCATTGTGTATGATTATTATTGTTGTTCGGAATAGTGTTTAGTATTGCATATTTATATATGTATATATTTTTAGTGTATGAGTATATTGATCGATTAATTTTTGTTTAAAATGAACTCTGTGTAAGTATGTTAAAATTGTTGTTGTAGATATATTTAATAATGTCTTTGCCATGTAAGCAGCTGACGAGAAGGCAACGGAATAAAAAATGGTACCATTTTATTCTGCTAAAACTGTAGTTCTTGCTTTGTTCAAATCCATTAAGGGGATAAATGTATGGAATTTTTATACTTAGACATACATGTATGAAGTCTTCTGAAAAGACTTCTTGTTTTACGTGAGGAGACACAAGGTTGGAGCTGCGGGTGCTGTGGTGGGTGGTCACAGTCTGACGAAATTCCTTTAGAAAATTCGTTGCACGACATCAAGTGCCTATTAGTGACAATATCAAAGATATGGCCCAATGGGATACCACTTAACCTACAGACAGTCTTTAGAGTTCTACGAAGTATGAAATAGTCTTTTTAAGCAATCCAGTAAAGAACAAGGGTGAACAGTTAAGAAGAATAGGTAAGATTCTCGAGTTGACAAACTGTAAGAGGAAGAGTTGAGTTATGCCTGAGTGCCTCAACTTCTTAATGTAAAAAGTCAGACGAAATATTCTTTTAGAAATCGCTCAGACATGGGAAGACGAGGATAGGTCAGAAGAAAGAATTAATCCAAGACACTTAACTTCAGACTTGGTTTCTATATCAGTATCATAAATTTTGAAAGGGTCATAGGAACCAACAGCTTCATTTAACTTTCCCTTACATAGGAAAATGAAATTGACAGTCTGGCATTTGGAAGGATTTAGTTTAAGGCCGTTAGACTGATAGAAAGCTGTTCATCTTAGCACAGTCAAGCTGGCTTAGCGAGCGATGTAAAGGAGTGCATCGGCCAGGAATCGAAACGCGGACCACATGAGGCGTGGTTGATAACCACTCTACCGCTGTGCCACCGACGCGTTGTTTCCTCTGGTGAGTATTTAAAACATTTACAACCTGCAGTTTCCCAAGTTTCTGCTTAACATGAAAAAAAGCATTATACTCGATGGATAACATCTTCTCCAAATGATGATGTTACGTAATTTCGATTGTATGGACAACATATGAATGAAACTGTTTTGTGAATAACTGTACTCCCCGGTGGTTTTCATTGGTTCTTCAACTGATATCAATCCGCAGTCCAAGCTGAAACAAATAGAATCCCCATAAACCAATTCTAAAAAATTAATCCGACGCTCACTAGTGACACCCTACAAGATGAAGCTGTCTGGAGTGAGTTCTAGTGAAAAGTCATGACCAGTGGGGTCCAACCATCCAATCGGGAATGACGATAGAAGTCCCACCGATGACATTGGTTGGTGGTTGCGCAAAAAGCATCACGGATCAGTAGAAGTTAGAATTCATGAACTGGCCATTGAGGAGTCGTGGGTCTCAGTGACTGAATAGTATATGATGAGCTTGCCTTGTAACACGAAGTTCCTGGGTCTGAATCCTGATGGTGGGTACGTACTGACTATGAGTTCTAAACTACCATATTTATCCAAATCATTTGTTGGTATTCTTTTAAACATCTTAATAAAATATGCACAATGTATCCACCCCTGCACTCCAATTTGAGCAAACACTTGTCAAAAATTGTTTTATTCGAAGAAGAAGTATACTGAAATTTGAAGTACAATGTAGTGTAACTAACTAGTATTTCACTCTATACACACTGTCTGGATTCAACATAGAAATTGGCACAAAAGTGCAGCAGTTCGAGTTGCCACGTTTCAAACAGCCTCCAAAGCCTCAGGATGGTCAGGGGTGGGTGCCTTGCGCTGCGGGTTGGCCACCCCTCCGTACACCTCTTGAAATGCTCCCATATAACCGGGCGTCTTACATAGCCTCTCCTGAGGAAGTCCTACTCACTGCCTTCACGTGACGGAGGTGTTTTTCACCGAAGTGAGAGGGCAAAGGCGGATGCCCGGCGCTCTTCACCGGGTTGACTGTCCATTGGATGACAGTCTAGGGGAGATGCCTAACCCTGATTCCAAACCTCCAACGACTGGCGTATGAAGCTCACCGGAGTTCACCGGCAGACGTATGGACAAAGGGCTTATTGGATGCCCTGGATGTCTGGCCCCATTCAAAAAGGCGTATGAACCGGACTCCGGTCACCGGCTTCCAATGGATAGTGGACTCCCTACTCCACTCCTGCTGCCTTGTAGGTCACACTTGGTTGTGTAAAAGGCTAGAGCTGCACTCTCAAACAAAATGCCGAGCGATTCTGGGGACATCACATGTACCTAATTCCCATGAAACTTCATGAACTCTCTCTTAGTTTTAAATCCCTCGCCATTTCCATCTTGGCGACGTCTCAGGGGTGGATAGCTGAAAACATGGCTTGGTACAGTCAAGGCTGATATAAAGTGCCTGGGGCTACAAACCGTCTACGGAATCCGTCTGTGGAACAAGAATTGGATAACCCTGCATCAGATCGCCGCGCCTGGGCAGCGATGACTCGAGATGTTCATGAAGCCAGCTCATCCTCCCGTAGGAGATAGCCGAAGTAAAGTAAAGTAAGTAAAATAGCACACACAAAGGTAGACACGAAGATGAGTGAAGAGAATTAGTAGAGTTTGACAGACATAAGAGAGAAATAGAATGGGTAATGGTAAAAAGGAATATGAAAGATTACAGAGACTGAATACATCTGCGTTGGCCATTGACAACGATTTCGAGCCATGTCACACCTATTGTCTCCAGCCATTGATTCCTGGAGTCCTGAGGGCCCCAACCCAGAAGTCTGCATCTCCCTACCTTACTCAGTTTAACTGTCAAGGATTTCATGGATTGATGCCATGTTTTTGTTTGGCCACCACTAACTCTTTTCCAGCCTGCACCTCTATACACACATATGACAATGATTCAATGAGAAGTTACAAGTATCGATGCAAAAGGTGAGAAAATGGAATTATCTCTCCCTGTATGTGTGTCGAATAATTCACTGGTAATTCCATATTAGTTTGTTTATTAGATATATCACACATAGTGAGGGAAACAGTGTTATTTACTTAATGACAAGGTTTCGAACAAAATTTATTGCTGTTCATAATCATTCCATCAATTATAATCACACGACTTTGAAACTTGAGATTTATTAGTTTTATAGAGCACAAAAACTAAGTAGTACTAAGGAAAATCAAAGACAGGAAGTGATACACATAAAAGAAGCCTTGAAACTTAGTAATTACCGGGATAAATTAGTCAGGAAATATGTAAAGAAATGTAAAAAAATAAAATCAATAATGATAGTAATTATTCATACATTTGGCTCCCTTGATAAATTTCGATAAAGAAAGGAAGACGAAATTTGCAGTATAAAATTGCAGTAGTAATCATAGTGATAATCATAATAATAATATTAAGAATAATAATATTAATGACGACATGCATGTCAAATATGCGCAAGACAACACCAACAATAAGAAATCTAAATCATCAGTAGTAATTCCATACAGGGAGGGAAGGTAGGGAACCTTACGGGGAATTTTTAACAAGGCAGAAAAAAAAGTGGCTGGCATTCAAATCAACCACAAACTCAATTAGAAACAAGCTTTGTCGGTTAAAGGACCAATCCTGTGGAGCCTTTAAAACAAAACAATTTAGTTTATCTAATACCCTGTCTGCGATAGGTCAAACTAGTAGAACAGGGGCAGTCAGACTAGCCGAAGATAACCACGGAAGCTTTCTTAGTCGAATCAGCTACAAATACATGTAAGAGGAATGATTCAGCACCTGTCCTTCCGGGAATCTGCAAAGTTCTACTACCCCAACGACGACAAATAGGAGAAGACAAAAGAAGGTATAAAACTCAAGTTCCGAAGTCGTGTGATTATAATTGATGGAATGATTATTAACAGCAATAAATTGTGTTCGAAACTGTGTCATCCAGTAAATAATGCTGTGTGGTAACATCTAATAAACAAACTAATATGGATTTAGTTACTACCACAATGCCCACGTTTTATACATATATTATTTCAAGGGTAACTTTACAAAATGTCATGACCTCATTCATTATTTAAAGCGAACCAAAAATATTCAAAATATTTGAATATATGCAGACAAACCGGTGAGTCATAGTTCAACTTCGTTTTTTTTAAAATTTGTTTATATTCAACATGCACAAATAATCCGTAGAACTCGATTGATCACATGATGCATAGACAGACAAGACAACAAAAGAAATATTTTTAAAAAATTCATATTTCAGTATATTGACTTAATATTCACACACACACACACACACAAAACCGTTATCTACACACACTGTGAAGGCAATGAAATGAAAATAATAATTTGCAAAAGAAGGGTGGAGGTTAGTGAATAAAGAATACGCTGTTTTTCGACAACTCTTTAATCCTTACGAGTTGATCACGAATTTAAATATCAGTTAGAGAACCATTGAAAACAAGCACTGGAGTACTGGAGTACAAGCGGATTGATGCTCGCTAGTGACTACTGGCTACAGGATGGGGTTTCCTGGAGTGAGTCCTAGTGAGAAGTCGTGACGAGTGAGGTCCATCCAAATGTCACGTGTGAGGATGGACGTCCCACCGATGACATTGGTTGGTGCCAGTCGCGCTAAATGTATCACAAATTGGTAGAAGTTAGAATTCAATGACTGACCATTGAGGAGTTGGGTCCCAGTGACTGAATGATATACGACCTTGCCTTGTAACGGGAAGGTCCTGCGTTCTAAATCCAACTAGTGGGGGCGTACTTCCAATGATTCCCAATCTCCCAGCTGGTATTCAATGGTTCTCTAACTGATATCAATCCGTGATCACCTAATAAAAACAAAACTAACCCTTGCAAACCAAACTACAGAAAATGTTACATAGCCAAATAATCATCAGGCCTTCTCCCTCTCTCTCTGAAATCACAAATGTAAAACAAATCACAGTGGGTAAAAAGCCAATCTACATTCAGCTTGATTATAAAGGTGAAAACATTGCAGCGATGATCAACAGAAGGCTGAGTACATCACTAGCCATAGCCTATCCTGCAGCTAAGCTCGTTCCCGTCTATCGAACAACTTGCTCCTTGATGCAATTAAAAATCAATAGATATATTTTTTATTTTTTTTAATATTTTTGATTCACAGCTTGATTCCACACCGTATTTTTGGTACAAGTATGGAATTTTCAGCATGGATATCGATAGCCCAAATTTCGTAGGCCGACCATAGATATCAGATGTGCGTCGGCAGGGGATCGAACCTCGGACCGTGTTCATGGTCGGCGAGAGTCCTACCCACTGTGCCACCGACGCACTCGTGTTAACTCCAAATGTATATACAAATTTACATGGATCTGTGGGAACAGTTACGTTGGAAGAACAGAATAAGGAAGGGCATATCTACGATTTTCTGAACATATAACAAAAAGCTCATGTCTACAGCTGGGAACAAATGCTGTAAACAGTGCCATCCCCAGACATCTCTTTGACACGAGCATGAGGTGAACGTCTCAAAATCGTTCACAGTTATCAATATGCAAGAGAATTCAATTCTCCTTATTTTGTTGAAGCCATTTCCATCAAGCGCCTGACACCTCATTTGTGCTCTGGCAACTGGATAATTTTATCTCTCTCTTTCATCTGAATGCGTAATGCTGAAAAGTTTCCATTGTGCATGACTGTTACTGTTCAGAATAGTGTTTAATATTATATATATATATATATATATATAAAATTATTTTTGATTACAGCTTGATTCCACACCGTATTTTTTGGTAAAGGTATGTAATTTTCAGCATATGATATCGGTAGTCCAAATTTTGCATGCCTATCATACCAGGTGTGCGTCGGTAGGGGATCGAACCTCGGACTATGTGCACGGTCGGCGAGAGTCCTAAACACTGTGCCGCCGACGCATGTGTATGCATATATTGATCGATTGATTTTTGTTTAAAATGAACTCAGTGCAAGTGTGTTGAAATTGTTTTGTATATATAATCAAAAATGTCTTTGGCTTGTAAACAGCTGACGAGAAGGCAACGAAATAAAAGATGGTACCACTTTAATTTGTAAAATTTGTAGTTCTTGCTTTGTTCAAATGGTGAATGAATTAGTAATATTGACGACATTAATGTTGTTATTTAAATAACATCAAATCAATAATAATAATACCAATGGATTACAGTTCAATAGCATCAACATAACACCAGACACTGAATATCAGACGTAGAAATTAAGAAAAATAACAATCCATGAATTTATAGTCTCTACTATAGGCCTACCAGGACAGTAGTGTAGTGGCCGGACTTATTTATTCTGTACACAAAGTAGATCTTAACAAGTACATCCATAATTATAGTAGTAGTAGTGAATTAAATAAGGTGCAGCTCAAAGTACTTTCTCTTGGCCTTAGATTTTGCGATTGACCGAAAAACGTTAATCACTGAGATACTGATATTGATTTTGAAAACCTATGTGGTCAGACAGGGGATCTAATTGCATCATCCACCCTAGAACTAAGAACGCTTCAACAAATCCAGTCTAGTGGATTGTTTACAGGATTTCATTATGAGCTGACATTAGTTAGAGAACCATTGGATGACCTGGGAGTACCGGATAGCTGTTTCGTCGTAGTTTCGGACTCTTCAGTAGTACGCGCCAACACTGGTGTTCAAACCCAAGACTTTCTGTTTACAAGGTGAGCTCGTATACCACTGGGACCCAATTCAATGACCTATGAATTCTAACTTCTGCCAATTCACGACGTAGCGCGACCCCTCCCTGTCTAGTACTCCCAGGTTTTTCAATGGTTCTCTAACCTAATGTCAGGTCATGATGAAATCCTGTAACCAATCAAATCCCTATAAACCAACACCTGAATAACATAATTAGTCAATGGTTAAACAAAACACAAGCGTATCTGTGAAGTAGTACAGATGCACAGATGTAAAATGATATAAACTGTCTGTGTGTGTGTTTCTACAACGCAGAAATGTAGATGGCAACAGGAAAATATACTGCTACCTACCTACCTAACTAACTAACTAACTAACTAACTAACTACTATAAGTGGACACTAATTAGTAAAGAAAAATAGTAATGATAGTAATAGTGAATAATAATAATAATGGTAGTAATAATGTGTGCACCCATAATATATGTATGTAGAAACTGTAAGTACAGATAAAGACTTACTGTGGTTAATGTAAAAGATGCGACCATTACTATGTACACGTTCCTCCCAACCAGGCTGTAAAAGAGGAGAAGTAAAGTATCAGGGAACAAGTTTATATATATATATATATATATATATATATATATTATATATAACAGATAGAAGAGGCGTTGGTGTTAAATAACTAACTATCCTATAAAATTCATTAGGAAGATCAATAAAGGCGAAAAATAAAATAAAAATAATTGTGGATCTAGTAATGATAACATAAATAAGAGGGAATATAAGTCATCGACTGTCATACCATATAAGAAGGGGACATCTGAGAACCTCCCTGCGTAGGATTCTTAATAAAGCAGGAATCACATTGGTGGCATTCAAACCTACAAACTCACTCAGGTAGGACAAGGTCTGTGGGCTAAAAGACTCGGTGGAGCCAATTAAACAAAATAATATCATTCACAAAATACCCTGCAATGACTGTGAGTGAGGTCAACTACATAGGTCAGGGGGTAGTCAGATTGTCGGAACATAAGAATTTAGCTGAGGTAAGAATGGTTGATCCTGAAAAGATAAGTAATTGAGAAAAAAGTTCAGCTATCGCACCTCACGCATTAACAAACAACCACACAATGGCGTGGGAGAGGGTTAAAATTCTAGGAAGTAATATAAGTAAGTGGAGAGAGAGGTAGATTACGGAATCCTTGTTCATCGAGTCTACACCCAACACAACATATGCAACACAAATGACTCAATGCAAATACCAGAAATATGGAAGGTATTATTACCACCGGTCAGTCCGTCGGTCAAATCAGAAGAGGATAATAAATAATCTCAAAATTCTATTTCGATTCAATTCAAGCACATCATAACATTCTAACAAGTTACTTATTATGACTATACAAACACTGGTCTTATTTCCCATCTGATTGTAATTGATGAATAACAAACACTCGTATTAATATTTCTGAATGTACAATAAATCATATTGATTTTTAATCCAATATCTAATCGATTCCACACAGGTATATATATGAAAGAAAAAAGTTGTGAGTAACCTGATATGATTATGAGTGGGAATAGTTTGTGCTCGAAACATGGTCATCAGTTAATATTACTGTGTAACACTGTGTCACAGTTTATCAAAATAAAATCTTATCCATAATAGACATATTAAAACCCCTCACTTTAGCCATTAACTGAATTAAAGGCAAATCAACATTTGGATATCTTGGGTTCTCAGGGGAATATAGGCCTTCAACAGCACATTTCCACTTATTCCTGTTCTCTTCCATCCTCTTTAGAGCTGGCCATACACACGTTGCCCATAATAGGTGATTTCTGCCTCAAACGATCTCCTCAATGTCTCCCTCAGACCAACGCCCATCTCGACGTTTCTCATTCAGGTTGCATTCGAGAGATGGCCTAGTGCGTGATATCACTCAAAAGTCTCGTCTCTCCTTAGCGCATACCTAATCTATCTCCAGTTTCTTCTGCATATCGGTTGAACAACAGGCCTCTTGGTCAGTTTGTTCCCAGCCAGAGTTTCTTCTTGCTAATTCTTTCTGGTCAGCCATTTGATCTGCAATATGGATATCTAGCAGAATAAAAACAACCTACGATGAACAGACTTATTCTCAACTATGTTTAATGGATGATATACGGTTGTCGACCAAAGGGTATGTGTACTGCTGAGCAGCAATTCGTTCCGTCCTCCTTCATGGCTGTGAGCAAGACATGACCACTGAAAGTGGAAGACATGAAAATGCTAGCTGTCTTTCATCATAGGTGCTTGTGTTCTATCTCCCATGTTAAGTGGTATAATAGGATGAGCAATATTCAGGTTAAGAGTCGAGTGCTAGGCAAAGAGGGGAAATCAATAGAAGAGGTTATGAAGTAACACCGACTGAGATAGTTAAGGACATGTGTTTCGCATGCTAAGCCATCGCCTTTCTCGACAGGTGATGTTAGATGACATTGTATTAGATCGGAGAAGAGCCAATGATGGTTAAACAAAAATGTGTCATCAGTTAATGAAATCTATAACAGTTAGTTTAAGCCAGCCACGTATGCAGGTGTAGATTTCCTGATCGGTTGGGTTCCTCAGAATGGTAAGAACCAATGACAATCGGAGACAATTTATGATGATATGGCTGGCTCAAAATCGTTCTCAATAACTGGAGTAGATGCATGCAATCTTTGTGATTTCTCATATCCAATAAAATTCTATTGTTCTTCCACATTACTGTTCTTTTTGCTCCATATTTCTATCTATTATCTCTGTTTTGAATCTCTCTCTACTCTCTTCTCTTGCTTTGTGTGTTCCATTGAGAGATAGAGTGGAAAGTGGAACCGCAACACGCGTGTGCAAAGCTTTACGTTAAAACCAGTCAGTCAGTCATGTTTAGGGATGTATACAAAGGGCACAGATGCACAAATTACTTTAATTTACCGTAATGCCTTCTTCTGTAGACTCATTGGTATAACGTCGGGTTGAAAAAGACAGGTTCAATTGAGTGAGACATGACGTGAATTCATGAAGTCATTGACTGTTGGGTTTGAGATATGTGTGACAGTATGGAATAAATGATTCAGGTCCTTCAGAGACAGTAGGATAAGTGGTTAGAAAGACTGTTGTGGCATATCTTGACACCCTGTTCAATGTGAACTTCTAGATGCATTAAATTTTCCTTAGCTTTTCTCATAAATTTTTCGTTTTATTGTAGTTTCTTCGCATTTCCTTTCTGTCTCTCTCTCTATGGGTGCTTTGAGAAGTGTGTGTGTCAACTTGAAACACTGCACTTTTGTACACTACAGCTCATAAGGCTGATTGCATAAAAAAAGAAAATGATGTGAGCCTGTTTTACTCTCTCTTGTTCACTTGGTGGTCGATTTATGTGACCGGGTGTTGCTTTTTCATTGATGTTGGTAATAGATACAATATTAGGTAAGGAATATAGATCAGTCTCTCTCTCTCTTTCGCTCTCTCCCTCATGTAGTAAATCCTCATCGACTTATGTGAATGAGGTTTCAAGTCACCTGACAAAGTTTGAATAAAGTTCAATATATATCAGTAGTAATCATGACAACAATCCCTTCAAAAATATTAAATTTTGAGGTAGGCAGGTATGTAGGCGTGAGGGTAGGCTGGTCAACTTAGGCTGTCTAAGTTTTAAGACTCAATGACTAGACAGATTGAGAAATATAAGCCAATAGTACTTCCATATTAGTTTGTTTATTAGATGCATCACATAGTGAGGAAACAGTATTATTCACTGGATGCCACAGTTTCGAACAAAATTTATTATGGTTCATAATCATATTAATTGTAATCACACGACTTCGAAACTTGAGTTTTATAGTTTTCTTCATTCTTTCCAGTGTCTGTCGGAGGGATAGCAGAATTTTTTAGATGTCAGGGTGGACAGGTGTTGAATCATTTCGATTACACGTATTTGCAGCTTATTCGATTAACAAAGCTTCTGCTATCAATCTTCTGCACTCGCCATCCTGTGACATTAGATTTTCAAACTGTCATCCTATCCCATCCTATAGTGTATGGTTGTGTGTAATTGCATTTAGTGCTATTCTCTAGATTTCTTATCTTATTCGGGTCAATCAATCTAGATTTTGCTGCTAGGTTTTTATGTTCGGCTAGTCTGATTGACTGACCCTGTTCTACTAGTTTGACCCATGTATTTGACTTGACAACCCCTACAGTTGGAGTATTAAATAAGCTAAATCGTTTTGTTTTAAAATCTGATGTCACAGGGTGGAAGGAGAGATTGATAACCACGGAAGCTTTGTTTATCAAATCAACTGCAAATACGTGTAACAGGAATGATTCAACACCTGTCTACCTGAAAAATTGTACTACTCCTACGACAAATAGGAGAGGACAAAGAAACCTATAAAACCCAAGTTTCAAAGTCATGCGATTATAACTGACGATATGATTATGAACCACAATAAATTTTGTTCGAAACGTCATCCCGTAAATAATAATACTGTTTCACTGTGTGACACATCTAATAAACAAACTAATATGGAATAACTTACTACCAAACTGCCCATGTTTTACACAGATATTAAATGAGCCAATAATACATCTAAAATCTTTAAATTCTTCCATATTATTTTTCACCTGACTCATTTGTAGACTTCCTGGTTGGTGTCCTCGGGACGGCAAAAACTAATGAAGGCTGGAAACAATCGGTGATATGAATCAAACTCATCGTTCTCCATGGCTAACGCAGATGCATCCACTCCTTGTGACTTATGATTTCCAGTAAAACTGTATTGTTCTTCGTTATAACTATTCCTTTGTCTCACACCTCTGTTTACTATCTCTATTATGCATTACTTTTTACTTTCTTCTTTTGATTTGTGTGGTACATGGAGGGAGTGTGGCGACTTGAACTGACGCACATTGGTGCAAAGTTCTGTCGAAAACAGATAGAATGACAGACCTGACTCGTGCTCCTCTCCACTAGGTATGATAATTGTAAAACAGAATAATTATTTGACAAATCCTTTCTGTGAACGATTTACTCACAATATTGTCTTCTCTGAGCTTGTTGGTTCAATTGCAAAGCTTCCGTCGTCCTTCTGGACAATATCTTCAGCTCAAAGCAAGTTTTATTTAGCATAAAATGAACTGATTTAAATTCTCTATGAATGAAACAATTGTGTCGCCTGGCAACCAACCATCTTCGTGACTGGTAGTCAGTTTACATCTGCACCGATGATTTGAACTTTCCCGTCTAGTTGATTTACTTACTTTTTATTAGTTGTTAAATTTGGTCGATATTAATATGTTTGTTAATCGCTGGCTGACTCACTCGAGTGCCAAGGAGGCTTCTAGGAATTCTCTGGCACAATTGGTGTCTGTTTACAATTTTGACATTATCCTAATCAAAGTGATGTCAATAATTATCTACATGCATTGATATGAAACAGGAATATATATCACGTCTTTTCATAGCTAATTTGTGTTCCTGGATTCTGATTCGACGGGGACGTCCACTTTGACTGATGTGATGCCTGTTACAGTACATACATGCAATTTATTTTGT